TATGTGTCCACGGGTTTTATTAAATTAAGTCACAAGCACAACGAACTGGACTAAACAAAAAATAAATATTGTTTCTACTTAAAAATATTCCATGATTTTTCACAGATTTTTATACACAAATTCAATTAGAAGAGCTTAGCTATTGCAGACGAAGAATTAGCCTCAAAAAAAAAAAGTATATGTATAATTTACATAGAAAAAATTGTAGAGCGGGTCAAAAATTAGTTAATCATTTCTAAAAATAGTTTTATAGTAACGCGCTATGTATTTATATGATAATTTTTTGAACATTATAACTGTAACGGGTTTTATATATATAAAAAAAAAAAAAAAATTAAGATGCGACATATCCGACGTTTTTAATTTTAATAGAATAATTAATAATAGGAACATTATATATGAAATGAAATATTCTAATAATTTATTAAATACTTATTGAATAGACCAGTTTCTAACTTGAGAAATTAATAATGTTACATGAGAAATATACACGTGTAATTTGTAATTATATTTCTTGTAAACCGTAATTACAATTTTATATTACTCTGGGACACAAATTATAGAGTATATGTATGTTATGAGGCCTAACTAGTCTAACGTTTTAATGCCTGTGAAAATATTTAAACTCTTCTTTTTTGCAACGTGATTTGTCTAGGTTCAAAACAAAAAAGAGTAAATTACTTGTACTTATAATGTATAACAGCCATATACATTTTTCATAATATAAACAATATTTACCCCCACTTTATTTAAAATAAAGACTTTTGATTATGACGATTTAGAACATAATAACATTCATAAAATCAATGAGGTAGTTTCAGTGTTTTTTTGGGCGATTCCTTCTATATTAGTGTACACAATTACCAAGGCAGAAATTTCTGTACGATTGTGTACCTGTACTGTATATTTTAAAAAATATTTTTTATTGCTCAATTTTTCTCGGTGATAAATATATTAAAGGCAATAAATACCGTACTGATGATAAATAAACGCGCGTGGAACTCGATTTCACAAATATTAAAGTCTGTTCAATTTTATTATTTTCGTTCTTAAAAAATAAACAAAAGCAAATATAATAAACTACACACGGTTCCGTTTGGTATTGTTCGAGAGCAAAATATAAATTTTTATTGACAAATCATATGCTCCACAACTATATATATATATATATATATATAAATATACACAAAAAAAAAAACAGTAGAAACATTTTTAATAGCAAATACACAATTGTCCTATGTAATCGGGTATGATATATTTAGTCAATCTCGTGTTATATGACGTGTACTGAAGTTCACATCGAACAAAAAATGCTCTTAACATTTATGTGCATATTATTTTTAACATATTAACATATACAGCATGTCAGTCACGACTGTAATGTTTTCCGAGTTAAAAATCGTTTGAACTTTTGTATATATATAATTATATTTCTCAACTTCAAGCCAAGTGTTCATTTGAATACACCAGTTTAATACGGTTGAATATATTTTTTCATCTTTTAGCTATTTTATTTTAATTTTCAAAACTTTTTTTGTTTATTAACTAACAAAACTTTTTAATCATTAGCTGTAGAAACCGAGACTTAACAATAGTAATTTATTCTTAGCGACTATCCTTGACGACTACAGTTAAGACAATAGTAATTTTTCTTACCTTGATACGTAAAAGTGCTTTTTAGTTTAAATTCAAGTAGTACAGATGGTACATCCAATTAGAATGCTTCTCAATGTCAATGAAGTGTTCTCGAAAAACTAGTATGGAAAAGGAGTACTGTCTAATAAAAACGCGAATGTTATATTTTTTTTAATATAAAAACCACGCAAACACTTTCAAAAGAAACACACATTAACGGTTTATACTTACCCTAAGTTTTCTCCGATTAATTTTATATTTATTATTTATAAAATATTTTTTATAAAATGAAAAAATCAAATTAGGAAAATTACAGTAGTGATAGCTGATACATTTTTGTTTTTTTTTTTTTCATAGCGAACCGGTATTTTTTTTCGTTATTCACGCATTTTTCGGACACACAAAAATGTATCCAGAGAACTGTATTTCAACTAAAAAATAGTCGGTAACGTCCATTGAAAAATAAATATGTAATTATACACGATTGTAATATATTCAAATACTCCAATTACGTACGATTTAAAGAATTATGTGTATAAATTAACACATCCGATGTCTATGTAAATCCTGTACTGTTTTTACAAAAAAAATATCAAGTATGAATATATTAACGCCCGCCGGTCAAACGACTCACGTTAACGCCAAATCATCAACGCCGTTTTTCATTAGATACACAGAGATAAAACACTACGGCAGAATATCTAATGCCATTTCAAGTACTGACTGTACTGTTAACTAGTTACGGAGGAATTAAAAGTTTAGCGAGTGCTTTAAGACATGAACAATAAATGAAACGATTTGTCCAGACTTGTGCATAATTATTATTTTTTTGCACATATTTTCAACCCGATATGATAGACGAACTTTTTTATTTATCTTTTTCTCCGAATAACGCGTAATTTTTAATTATTAGATTATTAATTACTATTTCTTGTTATTATAAAAAACACAAACAGTTCAAAATTGTTTTTTTTTTTCAAGTTTATGCGATAATTTTTTATTGAAATATTTCATTAATTATTGTAGTACAATAATATTTTACGATTTTAATGTAAAAAATAGTCGTAGTGTAGATTTTAATTAACGAGTTTAATGTCTATTGTTGTCTATAGTTATAGAGAACAATAGAACGGGCGCGTATGAATAGATGGCTTATGTTTTAAATTTTATAACTACATATATTGCAGGTAAAAATTAGCTAAGAGCTTTTGCGATTTCCGTAAAAACTAGTTTATTAGAGGTTTAATGAAAAAAAAAAGTGTTTCGAGAATTCTAATACAAAAGGAAACGCTTTGGGCCTGTTGCACTATTTTATAAAATGAATTTATGTTGTAAATACCTTTAAATTTAATAACGTTCCTTCATCATAACGTAGGATATTATTATTTTTATTATTATAAAATGCCTACTTTTTTAACGTATCTTTACTGATTATTTTAAATACTTATAACAGTCATATTACAATGCACAATAAAAATGATTCCCTTATATAGAATATTTTTATTATAAATTTACACTATAATATTTTCTATACGATTTTCGAGTGTTTTTCAGAAATACAAGTTTAAAATACACCCATACAATTGAAAATGTTAAAACCTCGTAAAGTTACTCGAAACTAAGAGATACTACATCATACTCGTGTAGTTTTGGAATCGAGAAGAAAAATAATAAAGACATGCAAACATTTTCTAATATTTTATGGCAGTTTTTCGACCGTGCCCACTCGAAACCATAAAGATTTCTATAGTTTATCGAGGGTAAAAGAAAACTTGTTATTTTCCGCAATCCTCAGAAGTAACACATTATTTTGACCGATTGATGTGCTCTGTGTACATAAGAACCCTAACACGGATAATGGTTCGAACTTTTGAAGTGTTTGAAATGTATTGGTTTTCCTTTATTCAGAAACTAAAACAAATAATTTTGCAACGTTAGACACACACATTTGCAGTACACGGGGCCTTACAGTACAGACACGATTAGATGACGGGGTCCAGATAGAAAATATTTTAATTTTCATAAGTATTTTAATTTAATCGATTTTATTTTTTACCTCCGACGCGTATTTAAGAAACGGTTAGTTTTACACTGCCGTTATTTTTTTGTGTGAAACTATGCATGATTACTTCGCTCTACCGGACCGATTTTACTGAACGATACACTTCAAAAGAAACGAGCAACGTCATGTATCCCGAACTAGATACACATAACGTGTCTAGATGATACGTTCAAATCATTAAAATAATTAAAAAATTCCAATTAAAATGATTAGGTAATAATTTTGAAAAACTTCCCTTTAATCCCTGTGCATAAAACAAATGTCATAACAAATTACAGGTGTTATAATACAGTCAATGTTGATATTTTTAGCATTGCTTTATACAAAATGAATTTTTTGAAAACCGAATGAATTTTTTTTTGATAAAACATTAAACATTTGCTGCTTTGACGACAATAATCTAATTATTAACCGAGGTACACGGCGGCGGAGCTTAATAATCAAAACTTTTCAATTTTCGATAATATTCCCAACAACCTACCTATTTTAAATGGAACGTTGGGTTTCGATTTCCACATTGATACAATTTTCGGTTAAAATTGTCTATGATTTTTCTACGTTGACGACCGATTTTTTAATTTTTCGCATATTAACGAAATACTCGCATCGTTCTAAATGATATCAACTTTAAGAATCTTAATGAACTACGGGATTAGAAAAATAACGACTTGTCTTCTAACGAGTAATCGGTCTCTAAAGTCGAAAATCACGTAATTTTAGATAAACATAATAAATTATTTTTTTACAAGTCTTATAAAGACTTGTATAACTTTTGATGCGTCCGTGAGTCACGGCGATAATTAATTAACGTTAATTTTACAAGAGAGTCGTAACATTCGAGCTCGTATGAATGAATTGTTCTTTAACGTACAGTAAAAAACCTCGTAGGTGCTACAGTCGTTTGTATATTTGTTTTGAAAATATTTTTGACGGTTATTAAATCACGACAAAAGCCGTTGTCCTTTAAAAGTTCTAAGTAACGTCCCGCCATTTATTACTGTCGCGGGGTGTTCAAGTCCGCCAAAGTTCGCATTCGTGTGTTTTAATTCGTCCCATTTTGTCATACTCGCTCTCTCCGGTGTCGACCTCGAGGGACAGCGAGTTTTATGCCGAAAACGTCGTACGGCTACGGCGGCAGCGAATGCGCCGGCTCGTCAAGATTTCGGATCGCCGTCTACGAGCGGTGCGAGCTACCCCGGGTTTTCCGAGAACCTGGCAAAGCTACAGCGCCGACGTTACACGACGTCCGCCGACAGGGAGCGCTTACGTTCGGCCGGGCGCTTTCCCTAGGCACCTCGTAGTACGTCGCCGTCGAAACTGCATTGGACTCGGCAGTCAGTCGGTCACGGACGGCAGTAGCAGTACGACTGTCTCGAGTGCGCACACGGTGCGTCGTTGTCCGCCGACGGCCTATTCTGAGTGCAGTTCAAAAGCGTTGGTGCGGTTGATTATTTTTTTCTATGCGTTTTACGTTTTTATAAGCCGGACGTTTTGTTTTCCGATCGCTATCACCCCCCCCCCCCCCCNCCCCCCCCCCCCCCCGAATCGAGTGGGTGTTTAAAATTTTTGTTTGTTTTTCAATCGGTGCCGAGACTATAAATTATACAAACCGTCCCCCTCGCTCGTGGACTGTGTAATTTCAATTTGATTATTTTAGTGGCGTCGTTAACGGCGAGCGGTGCGCTCAGTTGCGAAGAAGAACAAGATATATTATATATATACACATACATTTGAAACGTTTCACTCGCCCCTCGTCGGTCGGAATTAAATATAAAAACGACGAGCCATAAATCGTAGGGCTCTTAATCGCGCGCGCTATTTGCCGACGAGGGTTTCTTCCGCGTTCGCACGTCAACCTCCCGCCGGATTGCACATAACATATTAGACCACGATTAATATACGCGGTGGCAACCCCCCCGCCGATTGATAAGCGTCCACGGCACCGCGAACGTCGAGTGTACAATGAGTGATATCGTCGGCACCCCGTCGGAAGAAAGCGTACGATCCTCCGGTGTCCGAGTCGACGGTATCGTTGTTGTTGCCATCGTCGCACGTGTTGACGGACAACGGCATTCGCGCGTCTTCGACCCTACCGCGCCGCAATAGTAGCAAAATCGTCATGTTGGAAGATTCGGGAGGAGGCGCCCCGGACGGCAGAACCGCCGCCGGACCTAGGAGACCGCGAGCGGTTTCGACCGACGACAAAACGGCGGCAACAGCTTTGCTGGCAATGGCCTGGGCCGTGTTGCTCGTGACCGGAGTCGCCGAAGCCGTACTGTCCACGGCCACGTTTAAAGGTACGTACACCGATCGGGGAAGCCCGTGGGAGTCGAAGGGTTGGATTTCACTTGCGCTCGGACGTGAGCGGCCGGAGCCTCCGCGGAATTGATGTACGTAATGTATTAATGAGATTATTGACCGCGGAGGCCGGCCGAAATCACTGTAGAACCTTGTTTGAATCTATTGAAATAAATAATCATATATGATAAAAATAAATAATAATATACATTTTATATATATATATATATATGAGTGTAAACAGGTATGGTATTCGCGTGTAAACGTATACGTAAAATATAATATATTAACGTTAGTTCACTCGGTTTATTATTTGAGAAGTATTGTTATTGTAAGCAACCCGATACACCGTGGGAGATTAGCGGTGCGGCGGCGGCGGCGGTGGTCACAATATTGTCTTACGCGACACGCATGCCGTTCTTCAGCCGCCGAAGAGAGTCTCTTGTAACACCGATACCCCGACGGACGGGACGGTACATGGTTGGTATTGAATAATATCCCACCTAACCGTTACGTCCCGCGTGTGTTATTACGACTCGGCCGACCATCGACCGTTTGTCCCATCTCTAGAGGCTGGATCGGGTGGAGGGCGGGAACAGACCGAGATCGAGCCCCGTCTTAGAGGTTCTTGACGATCACTCGGCGGTCGCGCAAACGATTTCGGATGTCCCGCCGCTAGTCGCAATTTCGGTGAAGAGTCCGTTTACCTGGGGGGTGTAAAACCAGGCGTCTTACAAATAAAACGTGACCGAAGCTCCGTTACGAGGGTACACGCGATTGCCGTGGACACGACGGGGTTAAGCATAGGGGAGGTCACGTTTGTTTGGACGATTCCGTTTGTTCCGATAACGCGCGACGACGATTTTTGGCAAAGTACGAATAAAAAAATTCTCTATTCCCGTTTCTCGGCAATTCTATTTATAAACGACATTATCGAAGCTACCGCCGCCTCCTCACCGTCAACTAAAATAAATCATCCTGACCACCAATGGCGGTTTATAAATAAAGTCCTGAGCGGAGTACTGAGATTTTACGGATTACCGTCGACCACTCTAAATATGGACACGCCGGCGGCAGTATCTCTTTCGCCGACATCGCTCGTTCGCCATGCTAACACGCGCTGACACAACAACACGCACATATGTTAATAAGACGTTTTTCGTGATAAATTTTCGCTGTGCGAGTTAAATATACATTTTTTGTACGCATAAAGCCGTCGACGGTTGTCCCTAGCGCGCAAATTTTTCACATGATGTCATCCAAACGATATTACTCCGTCCGCGGCCTACTCTATTGCTATTTATATTGGACGGATTCGTCTATATGTAGTTTAGATTAAGCACACACACACACATACACACTCATATATATATATATATATGTGTGTGTATGTGTGCTAGTAAATATATTTATATAGAATTTCAGTTAGGAAACAGGTCAATTGTTGCAAACAATGAGAACAATAGAAACCTGTTTACTTACTTATTAAACTCCCTATATATATATACATTTACTAGCACACATTAACACATCGTAAGAAATGATCCGAAAATTCTCATACGTCGGTGTGACACTATTAATGTACACGTTACTTTTACACACGAGTAGTGAAGTTTTTACGTTAAGTATCTAAAATTCGCACACATTTCATTTTTATCACTATTTATCAACACATTCGCTTTCATTGTATGCGTTAAGCATTTCCACTACACGTACGTAAAAATTCCGACATTTTTTCTTTTTAAAAGTGCACGCACTAACACTGGTACGCACACACGCACAAATATATTTGAGTGGCACATCGAAAGATGTGATGTATGTGAAAGCGGTAGATGTGTGTAAATTGATCGATCGCGGGTTGAACGTGTACAAAAGTGGTCTTTATATAATGTATAGGTTTCGGAGGAAGACTAACACGATAGGTTTTAGAGACGGGTCGGATGGGTTTTTTGTCGACTATTCCACAGGATCTAGCGGCGCACACGCCAGCGCTTAGGCTACACCGTGCGACGGGTGAGATGAAGGGCGAGAGTATGTGTTATGTGAAAAATAGAGTATTTTTCATTCTATTGTGGTGGCGTCCGTGAAACTCGTGAACGCGAGCAAAGTCGTTTTCCCGTGAAAACGACTTTGCTGCTCCGGACGTGCGAATTTTTTTTTTTTTTTTTTTTAACACACCATTTTCAACCGCGTTATCAACCGGAGGTGGATCGGCGTTTTACCGGCGGTAATTAGAAGTTATCAGATGTTTTCCGAACGCAAAACGTGTTCCACGACAGATTTATTATTATTGTCGTTGTTGCTGTCGTTGTCGACGGAATGTTTTCGGTTCGATAATATAATTACGTGCGATGTCGCGGAGGAGCAGGTGGTGTGCAGCTCTACCGTGAGAGAAGGTCCGACCGCGATGACGACGATACGGTACGATGACTCTCCTGGGTACGGGATGCCACTGTCGGACTGTGAACTGTGTGCAAGTGACGCGTGACGAGCGGGACAGCAGAAGGCGCTCTTCGGGAAGGTACATGGTTGTAGGCACACACACAAGAATGGGATACATCGTACAAGAATACGATGTATCCGGTCTCGAACGACAACAGGTGTCTCTATTGCTTTTTTTACCGGTTACTTCCGGACCGCAACGCCGCCCTATAACGCTGGGCGACGAGATCTTGTCCGCGCGATTGATAATAGAATAAACACCGTCGCGATGATCTCCACGCCATAATAGTGCCCGGAGTCGTAGTCGTGTAGTCATTGTAAATTCGTTTGGTATAAAATCGTACACGTTTCGGTTTACTGTACTCTAATTGTTACGAATAAATAGTTTCGACAAAAACGAACGGAATGGACGAACCGTGTCAAAAGTGTCGGTACTGTTTCCACCTCCGATCGACACCGCGTTCTACGATTTCGAACCGATAATACAAGTTTCGGGTAAAAAACGGTGGCGCGAGGTTGTTGTGCGGTTCGCGGGGTATAACGGAAGACCGCAGAGAAGACACTAATGACGCGAAGGCGGTTTTACACCGTCGAGTGTAGCGAAACCGATTGACCGAAACCGCCGCGTAACGTTATGTGTACGCAGATATGAAAATGCGCGTCTTTGTTATTAATTTCTATTTCTATTGGCGTGTTGTTAACAGTAAATAGTCGGGCGGCCGACCGAGTCGGTTGTATCGAATTCACTAAACAATTGCCATCGCAATTCGTATCGATTGCTACTGGAAATGTGGAGCAACAACGCGCTGGTCGAAGAGCGACCGTTTGTGTTTATTTTTTAAACATTTCGAGTGCCGATCTCGTTTGCCGCAGCACTTCACGCGAGTGACGGCAAACACCAATGGACGAGCACTCGCGAAATATGGAGATTTATTATGCTGAAATCGTGTCGCTACACACAAAATAATGCTATTTCAGGGCTTTTAGAAGATATTTTCCAATCGTCTTTTGTCCGCGCGAGCTCAGCGAACGCGGTCACCGCACGATCGAGTGGTTAATATTCATCGATTGTTGTTATCTTGAAGTAAAAAAAAAAAAAATGTCAATTTTAAGATGCACACGTTAGAGAGAACGTATTAGCGAAATTTAAATACTTTATCGTTAAAACGAATAATTGCTGAAAAAAAAGAAAACTCGGCAAATATGTATTAACCGACAAACGAGTGTGTGCAATTGACATTTGTTACATTTAAGTTTGTGTCTGCATTTGATTACGACCGGATATTGTTGTAATCGCGTACGCAGTCCAAACTAGACGGCGTTTTTAATTAAAAACAGACTCCGCCGTTTCGATTTCAACCGAAATGTATCGCGGGGGAGTTCCCACGGTTTAAATAGCTTATGAAATATACTAATCCAAAGCGTTCGCATTCCGGCGTTCGTTAAAAATTCGCCGTTTTAAATGGTTCTTTTTTTTTTTTTAAACTCGATAATATTTCAATTAAATGTTTAAGATTAACAATTTCCCGTTTCTGCGTAATAAATTGCCGTTGTTCATTTGCAATCAGGTACACAATTCGAGAAACTCGACGGTTATTAATAAACATGAGTTTTTATTAAAATATTTCAACCGAGCGTAATTATTATCATCGGTAATCTCGAAACGAAAATAAAATTATGGAAAAAAAATGGCGATTCCTTCCAATGTCGTCGTCGTCGTTGTCGCCGTTATTAAAAAACACGAGGCTCGTCAAACGCCCTACAAACGACGAGTTAATGGAAAAGTTTTTCAACGGTTAAAACGCATACTAAATACACACACACACACGCGCGCGCGCACCGAGACCACTTATATAGATTACATATACAATACGAACAAACGTTAGCACTGTACGTATATATATTAATTAGTATTTTAATAACCCTATCTTCTACTCGACTCGTTTCTCAGGCCCCTTCCATTATTCCGTTCCCCTCGTATTTTAACCATTAGTTTTCCCCCGTATCGCCGCGTATCACTCTACTCACCGCGAGCTGCTTGTTCAAGAGCGTTGTCGTCCGTGAACGATGAACGTTCATCACGACGACGACAATGACAACGGTGATAGTGATGGCGGTGGTAACGCCAATTAAAATATATGTGTATACATATATTGTACATACATATATTATATATACATATATTGTACATACATATACACACACACACACACATATACATACATATACATATATATATATGTGTGTGATATATCTATTATAAATGTTTTACTCGGTCGAGTAAACCAACCGTGTACGATTTTGACCCTCCAGTGTGTGTCGTTTGTTTATGTATATTGCGCTACGTCTTTCCGTCTCGGTACGCTGGAGGTATTCTGTACAGTCGCCCGCCAGTGATTACTTAATACGTTGGTGATTATCGTCGAGAGGACTCCTCGGGTATTGTACGCGGCAATGTGATTAATCACGAAAACAAATGTGGAAAAATTCGTTGTTTTCGTCGTCGCTCGGAATTAAACGCCGCCGAGGAATGCGAGCGGCCGCGTAATCTATCCGA